GCGCTGCCGCTGCCCCTGCCGGACCCATGCCTAACACCTCTGGCACCACGGGCACCACGGACAGTTCCCCCTCCGGCCGCCCGTTCGCAAACAGGCTGTGGAAGTAGGCGCTGCCCGCGCTAAGCGCGGCGCGGTGACATGGGAAGTCGCGGCCACCAGTGTGCAGCACCACGTCGGTGAGGGTGCCGCTCCGCCGGTATGCATTGAGGGTCTGCAGGACACGTTGCGCGTGGCAGGACCCCGCGCATGGCGCCTCGGAGCCCCGCTCCGACTCCTCTGGCACTGGGCCCTCGCGCATCCTGCTGGGCAGAGAACACAGACAGCGTCGGCAAATCCACCTGGCTGAGGCCGGGTTGGACGGCAGGAGGGCTCTTATCCATTCATTCCCTTGGATGGTTCACTAGTTTATTCAGAAAGGTGAGCAGGAACTGAACGCGTGTGCTTTCATTCACACAATTGCTCTTCCTTACGTCTACCCTTCCATATTTTTAATGGCCTCGGTAAGCTAGTCCCTGCCTACCCAAAGGACTAGACCCTATCTTAGCTGTGCCACCTTCTCCCCCACTGACCTACTCCAGCCGTTTTGCTCTTTTTGTTCTTCAAACTCCCTAAGCTTTTTCCTATCAGTATTGGCAGGAGGCAGATGGCATACTCTCAAATGGGGTAATTTGAGAAGAGTCTAATATTAAAGGAAGAATTTACAAAGGCATAGACAGTGTTCCGAGACTCCCACAAGGACTAGAGCAGTGCCACGTGGCTACCAACAGCAGGGAGCCCTTACCTATCCAGGGTCTGAAGGCAGAGGCCTGGGAGGTTATTGAAACTTGCACAAAATATCTGTATAAGGAGGGCCCCCTGACAGGAGGTAGTCTTTAGTCCAGGAATTCAGGTGACCCCACAGAGATCCAGTGTGTAGGCAGGGTATAACTCTACCCCGCTCTCCTCACCTTATCCTCTTTCCTAAGGCTCTCCTGTAAGTGCTCCCCCATTGACCACACCCTGATTATTCTATTTAATATCTGCTTCTCCCCGCAAAGTACAGGATCTGGCCCATAGTAGGTGCTTAATTAGTACCCATTCAAGGTTGAATGAATGTAGTAATCTAGTATTTACTGAGAGCCTATTCTCTGCCAGGCAGTGAACAAGATATAGTCCCTACCCTCTTGGAGCTCTCAGCTTGGCGGAGGCCCCATGGGGAAGTACAGAGCATTGGGGAGCTCAGAAGGGGCATTGAACCCAGTTGGAGCAGTCAGGGAAGGTGTCCCTGAGGGGGAACCATCAGACTGAGAAGAGTAGGTAGAATTAGCCAGGTGAAGGGAAGGGAGTGGAGGGAGTAAGTCTCCAGCTGAGAGAACAGTCTGTGGACTCAGAGGGAAGAAGGGCATGAGGGAAGAAGGGCATGAGGTTAGAGCCTAGGCTGGGAGGGAAGTTGGCCCTCTCTCTCTAGTGAGTTCTCTGTTCTCAAGGAAGCCCTGTGGGGAAGTGAAAAGAGCTGGCTCTGAAGACTGGTCTGGGTTCTAATCCTGCGTCTACCACTGACTCACTGTGTGACCTGCACAAGTCACTCCCCCTTCAGGTTCCTAATCTGAAATAGGGTCGTAATGCCTCCTCTCATGCAGTTGTTGTGACTTGGTGACTATTAAATGGATTGTATGAGAGGTGCTTGGTACACAGTACAAGCTCAACAAATGTTTCCTCACATGTTTTTACTATGTGTGCTAGTTGCTTTTATGTCCATAATTTCATTTGATTCTCACAAACCTGAAAATTTCTTTAAACTCTTTCCTCCCTTCTTTTTAAAGTTTGTCATGCAGTAACAATCACACAGAGGGAACCTGTCCTTTGGAGGTTGCTGTGAGGATCAAAGGAGGAGTGTTTGTGAAAGCATTCTACAGACTGAAAGGCTGGTTGGGGTCTGGCCATTACAAACATATAGCCTCTGCTTGCACACCTCCAGGGACAGGGCGCTCACTCCTTTATGTGGCACCTTACTGTAGGGGAGCAGAGCTCTGCTATCTGCCCCTTGCCTCTCCTTCCATTCTCTTGATATCAGCTGCTCTGCCTCCTCTGAGACTGCTTTGCCCTGGAAGTCAGATTTGCCTAGTAGTCAGTCTGGCTTTCACTGCTCATGCCTTATCCTGGGTGGTGGATCCCTTGTCTCAGCATCAAAGGAAATGAGCTCTCTGGTGAGCAGGGTCTCAGGAAGTTAGCTACTTTGCCCAAGTAGAGGGGCTGGGCCCTGAATCCACCTGGCTCTAGACTCTGCATACCTAGTGGGTTAGCCACACTTGGTAGGGTTGGGGTGTGTCCCAAGAAACAGTCCAGGACCAGAGGAAGGAGGTGAGAGTAGTCATGGGAGCATGCTGCCCCTATTCTTTTCTCTGCTGGCTGAGAAAGCAGCCGCACTTTGAGCTGAGGCCCAAGAGGGCAGGTCATATCAGCACAGGAGGGACTTCTCTCTACAGAGATGTGACTTCTCTCTGCAGAGATATCCTGGCACAAAGGGTTGCCTGGAGAGGGGAGGGAGTCCCCTCCTGGGAAGTGCGCTAGTAGTTTTTCATTCATTCTCCTGCTGTCTACTGTGCTGGGCACTGGACACAGTAGGACATCAGACCCCATTTCCACCCTAGAGATTTCCAGTCTTGGGGCTGAAGGACACCCCGTTGGAACATGAAGGGTAGGGAATTCCCAGGCAGGGCTTGATGCAGTTTTCTCCCATCCCAGCTATGAGTCTAGGCGTCTCAAGCTGAGGGTCCTGACACAGACTGAGGGACCCACCCCCTAGACATTGACATGCCACCCTGTCTCTCTTTCATACCCACATCCACTCACACAAACACACTCAGACTTGTAGATACCAGACAGCCAGGGCAGCCCTGCATCCTAAATCCCCAAGTGTACCTGGCACTTACCTGGCCATGACCTCTCCCAGGCACTCTACAGCTGCTGCTCCTGCACTGACCACTCCTGTCTGTCCTGCTGCCTGCAGCCCTGGCAGCCTGGGCTCCAATGTCCCTGCCGCTCTGCCTGGACTCCCTCTCAGGCTCAGCTGCAGGAGGACAAAGGGGCTGGACGCCAGAGGGGAAGGGAAGGGAGGGGAGTTAGGAGGATGGGGAGGAGGGGTTGCTGGGCTTTTGTTCTACTCTTGGACCAACCCTGGGAAGGGAGAAGGGAGGAGGTGGGGGTAGATGTGGGATTGACTGTATGTACAACTCTGGGATCCGCATGCCTGGATTGGGAGTGATTTGGCACTAGCTGTGCCCCTGAAGATACATGGATGTGAGGGTGGGGGACGGGGTGTGGGGGCTGGGGGGTTTAAGTGTGCAGGTGTTCCAGAATACCCGTATGTGAACGTGGAAGTGCATGGGGACATGGTGACTGTGTGGCATTGGGGTAGGTGTGATTGAGTAGCTATAGGTGTGACTAACAATGTAACTGCACAGTTTAGAGGTCTGGGTTTTTCTCCTGCCTCTGTGTGACTCTGTACTGTGTTCCTACGTGACAGCAGACATGTCACCGTGGGATTTTGTGTATCTGGTTATATGCCTTGTGTATCCCTATCTCTCTCTGTCTGTATCCCTATGTGATAGTTCATTTCTGTGTGTAACAGGGGGGCTGTCTCATGGACTGTGTGTGTGGACAGCATGTGGTCCTGGGGCTGTGGTATGGTGTGAGTTGAGGTGGTTTTTACTTGACAGTGTACTCGCCTTGGAGAGGGCACAGTGAAGCAGGTGTGGTGTTAATGGGCTCGCCTGGTGGGGTGGGGGTGGGGGTGCGAACAAAGTAGCTCTGGGCTGGCCTGGCCTCCTAGAACCAGAGGAAAGTGGTTCCACAGGCTGGTGTTTGATCGCTTGCTACCTCTACAAAGGGCCACAGGGCCTGTGTCTGTGGGGCAGGCAAGGGGATTTGCCTTCATGGAAGATGGCAGTTTGGGAGGAGGTTGTCTAGATAAGAGCCTCAGTGGTCCTGGGGCACCTGGAGCTTGGTCCTGGGACACACCATGCAGCTCCAGGGTGATCACTGCCCACCCCTTGGACCCAGCTCTTCATCTCAGCAGGCAAGATGGTCTAGTTGCGACTCCTGCTCTGCTAATCTTATTGGGGTTACTGTGACGCTCAAGAGGGTTTGTGAGTGAAACCCACGTGCCATGTAGTCTGTGAGGCTGGGATCCTGTAGGAACCTGCCCCCCAGAGGTTCAGGCAGGCCAAGTTTGTGGAAAGAGTCATGATGGGAGAGGGTCACTGTGATGCTGGCCAAGTGTGTGTTGGATGGGGAAGAGTCTGTTCCATGGACTTTGCTCCGGGGAATGGTGTATCCCATAAAAAAGGGGTGTATGTGTTGCTGTGTGTTAAAGGATGTGAGCGATTCGGGCACCTTTACACCTATACTTGAGAAGGAAGGCCCTGGAGGGTATGGAGGGTGGACTCAGCCTGGGAAGGTCTCATCCACTAAAGCTAAGAGAGGAAGGAAGGGGTAGGTCTGCAGGGGTGGCAGGAAGAGAAGGGCCTGTTTCTCTGTAAAGGGCACTTAGGCCATCCTCCACAGACAAGGGAGGACCCAAGGAGAGCATTAGGAAGGTGGGCTTCTCAGTAACCCCTCAGGTCGAGGGACAGGAGCTAGGATTGACCACAGGCTGTGGGCTTAGCTGAGGGTGGAGAGGGGTCCACCCATCTGCCCAGCTAGGGGATGGTCTTCATCCTTCTTCCATTGTTTGGGGTGAGGAGAGGCAGCTGGACTGCCTCTGCATTGGGGAATGGGTGGGTGGGGTACAGTGTAGGGCTCTGGTGAGAGTGGGATGCTGACTGGCTGTTCCACTCAGAACTCCCAGTCCCCCCTCCCCACTCCTGAAGACTCTAGGATCTCAAGTTGCCCGAGTGTGGCCAGGAGCCTGGGACATGCTGGCCAGTGGGCCCAGGGGCACTGACTGGACAGGAAAGGGCTGGCAGGAAAGGTCAATTGTGGTTTTTTTGGGAAGGACTGCCAGAGGCTGGAGAGGAGGTTACTGGGGCATTTGGGTGGGGCAGTGTGCCCCACTCCTGACCCAGACATTACAAGTTTCACTCACACTTCCTGGTGCCCAGGAGAGGCTGGAGCTGACCTCTGCCCCAGGAAGGGAGCACTTGGCAGATGTCTGAAAGTGATGCTCCCTGGGGCCAGAGCCTGGGGGGATTCCGGCTCTACCACTTCTAAGCTGTGTGGCTGTGGACAGTCACTTTACCTCTCCAAGACTGTCTCCTGCATGATATGGGGACACGGGTTCCCAAGCCCAGGGCTGTTAAGGAAGCCCTGGCACAAGGTGAGGCAGGGGAAGGGCACCACCATGCCACTCTCCCATTCATTTCTGAGAGTGGTTCTTCCTGTCATGGGACCTGAATCCCAAACCCAACAAGTTCTGTCCCTACCCTTCCACTGACAATTCAGAGATGACACATGTCAAGATGGCAGCTTTAATCATCTTGTCCAAGGTCCCTCAGGCTCCCTCTGCTGTAGGCCTCCTTGGCCATATACGCACCCTTTACCATGCTTGAACACTTTGCCCAGGTGGCCCCTGCCCTGTGCCCACTGATGTGGGAACCTGAGGTTGTGTCAGTTTGTGGATCTCCTGGGCCCTCAGGCCAGTCTGCCCTGGAGGCCTGTTGGACACTTGGGTGTGGGATCCATCAGCCCCAAGCCTGCTCTTCTGGCCATCTCTAGCTGCTCCTAGGGGATGGCTCAGGCCCTCTCGGGCAGGGCCAGCAGCAGCAGGAGGCTGGACAGGGGGGAGTGTCTCCACCACTGCAGCAGTGTTCCTCCCAGGCTGAGCTTTCTTGTGGGTTGAGACTGATGGAAAAGCACAGGCCCTCTAGGCAGGAGAGACATGAGAAGTCTGTTTCCTTGCAGCGCAGACAAGAGAACAGACATACGGGCACACGTGGCTCCACATCCTCCATTGCCACAGGGGTCATGGAATAGCCCAATGACCCCTCAAAGCTTCCAGAACAGGATGCAAGGGAGGGCCTCAGGGAGAGGACCAGGCCCCAGGCCCCAAACTTCCCAGAAGGAGCCCTGGGCCTGCAGGGGCATCTGGGAGGCTGGAGAGGGGAGCCCCTCCAAGAGAGGCCATGGCTGACAAGGGGCTGGAGCCGACAAGGAGGCTCTCAGAGCACGCTTCTGCTAGCTCTCCAGGCTTCCCTGTTCTCCACATGAGGTACAGACTGGACAGATCAGTCTTCAGCTAATGCCCACTCTGGTCTGTGAGGATCTTGGCACGGCTGCTGCTCCCTCGGGGGGCCACAGGGGCGGTGGTGCTGTTGGCGTACGTGTCATAACTGTTGTCTGAACATACAGAGAGCTCATCGGAGACCTCCATGCCATCGCTGATCTCTGTTGGGCCAGAGGAAGCAGAATGTGAGTGTGGGGAGGAGAGAAATGGATGAGGATGGCAGCAGATGCGGTGGGAAGAATGGTCTGTGGCAACAGGTGTGATATTGAGTTTGGCATTCAAGGCCCTCCTTGGTCTCTGTGAACCCTCTGGCTGCACCTCAGTCTCCTCTCCCTTGGAACTCTACCTTCCAGCCACAGAAAACTATGCGCACCCTCGTGAGCTTGCCATGCACGAGTTTACTCTCCTCAGGGCTCTGCATATACTGGCCTGTCTTCTGGGAGCGATCTCCTGATACTACCTCCTTTTCTTAAAATCTGGCTAAATTCTTCTTATTTCTATTATTGCAGCCTCCTCTTGAGCCCCCAGGCCAGGATGGTGCCTCCTCATGGCTACCCTGCTCCCACCTGCCCCATCATACCCTGTACTGTCACTGTCTGTGGCCCCCACCGGCTGAAGCACTTTAAGGACAGGGGTGAGGTCTGGGCATCTGTGTGTCCCCAGTACCTGGCACAGTGCTGGACACATAGCAGAGGCTCAGAAAAGGTCTGCTGAAGGAAGCTAAGCCCATCCCAAGGGGACTCAGGGTACCTTGGGGGGCTGAGGGTCCCTGAAGAGGACTTCTCAACCTGGAGTGGGCAAGGTGTGAGACCTGTGGCTGACTCCTCAGGGCCAGGACTCAGAAGGTGCTAGGCCTCTCTGGCACTGCAGAAGAGGGTGGGGGGGGGGTGCTTCGGGCCTAGGGGACAGAACTTGCCAGGCCTAGGTGCTAGCCTCCTGCCTTCCTTTCATTCTACCCATCCTTTCTCACTTCTCTGGGCCAGGCACAGTGCAGGAGCCAGATGACCAAGGGTACCCTGGCTTGGCCCCTTCTAAAACCTCCCCAGTGTCGTCAGAGGGCTGTGGGACACCAGGGGGAGGCACTCCAACCCAGCTTCGGCGCTTAGGGAAGGCTCCCAGGAGAAGGGTTTCTGAGCAAGGGTAGGGGAAATTAAGTACCCCCAAAAGCAAGAATCTCTGTATCCTAAGCACTTATAACAGTGCCTGGCATGTATTTGTGGAAGGAATAAGTGAATGAGTAGATGTTCACAGGCTCCTGAGAGTCAGCCTCACTGGGCTCTGGTTCATTTAAGCTGTGTATACCAAGTACCCCTCTGAGCCAGATGTGGCACTAACCCTCCCAAGTACCCTGTGAGGGGAAGCTAGCCCATTTTACAAATGAGGAGTCTGATGCTGAGGGAGGTTAGATCATGTGCTCTTGTGCACACAGCTGGGGGATAAGCTGATATTTGAATCCAGGTCCATCTGGCTCCTAAATGTCTCTCAAATCTTTCCTCTGTTTCCATGCCCGCATCTCTCATCTGAATTACTGGTTTCCTTGCCCCCACCTTCCCCCTCTAACCCACCCTCCACCCTTGTTAAGGGTTGATTTGTGTTTCCCAAAGTTCATATGTTGAAGTCCTAATCCCAGCACCTCAGAATGTGACCTTTGGAAATAAGGTCATTACAGATGTAATTAGTTAAGATGAGGTCATCAGGGTGGGCTCTAATCCAAAATGACTGGTGTCCTTATAAAGAGGGGACCTTTGGACACTGAGATGCATCTGCAAGCAAAGGGGAGAGGCCAGGACCAGATCTTTGCCTCACAGCCCTGCTTACACCTTGATAATGGACCCTTGGCCTTCAGAACTGAGATAATACATTTTGGTTTTTAAGCCACTCAGTTCATGGTACTTTATTACAGCCCTATGGTAACAAAGAAAAATCTACCTGTAATCCTCTTCTGCTATCAGAACAAAGCCCAAGCTCCTGACCACACACACTTGAGGCCCAAGTTCTTCCCAAGTGCCATCCTGGGGTGAGTCAGCCAGAGGCCGTCCCTTCAAGCCAGGTACAATGATGTTTAGTTCTTGGTGCCCAGCAAGCAGTGCCCCCATCACTACCTCTGAACACATGCTGTTCCTGCCTGGAATGCCCTTCCTTCCCATTTCAGCTATATCCCCTCGTAAAGTAGGCCCTAAAACCTTCCTAACTGCTCCAGGGAGGTCTGAACCCTTCTGTCCTCCTTGCATCCCACTCTGGCTCAGCACCCCCATCTGTTAGAGCTCTCATGACACCTAATTTTCCATGTGTGTGTTTACAGCTGCCTCCCCCATCAGACTGGGAATGTCAACAGGGGTTAGCAGCAAGCAGAGGTGAAATCAATATTTGTGGGGTCTATGTATGAACCAGGCATGGCAGGATGGGCCTTCAAAGCAGCCTCCTCCCTCCACCCCTGTATGTCACCCTTGCACACCACCCATAGGGCTAACACTGAGCCACAGTACCTGGCTGCATGTGGAGGGGTGCACATTTCTGTGTGTGTGTGTGTATTTGCACACCTCTGTACAGTGTGGGCATGAAGCTAGGTGGGTATCTGTACCGTGTCCCTACCGGTATGTGCTGCGTGTGAAGTGTGTACATACCCACCTGTGTGCATGTGTTGGGTGCAGAGAACAGAGCACAGAGCCTATCTCAACCTATCTGCAGGGCTGCACACCTGAGAAGATGAGTTTCTCCTTCATGATGCTGACGTCCCGGCTGGTCCGGCGTACCGCAGCGCTCAGCATGATCTGCTCAGGGTTGTAGCTCCGTATGCCACCCAGGCGCCACCTGCAGAGACAGCCCCATGGGCATCAGGTCTTTCCCCTCCCTTCCTGGGAGCAGGGATCTTGCCCACTCCCATGTTTTCTCTGGATCTGGCCTGAGACCAGCAGGACTCTTGTCTGGTACAGATGGGGAAGCTGAGGCCCAGAGAAGGGCAGAGCTGGGGCTTGAGTCAGAGTCTGCTCTCAGCCAGGGCTCTCCAGTCCTCTTACCTCTAGAACCCTAGATCTACTCCCCTTGCCCAGGAAGATGGTTTGGGGTTGGTTACTTATGTTTCAGGTGCCCCCAGTTATACACCTAGCTCTCTTTGGATAGGACAAATTTGGGGGTGGGGGGTTCTTAGCAGGCATGAACTCTGATGACCCACCTGGGATACACACCAGTCTTGAGGAGCCCCAGCTGATGTCACCTACAGCTCCACCATCAGAACCAGGCTGAGTGAAGCCAGTGAGGAACCCCCAGAGGAAGTGAAGGAAAGCAGGGAGGGGAGGGGAGACAGCAGGGAGCTTATCTTCACGGGTGCACAAGGCAAGGGTGCTGGAGTGACTTCAGGGTGGGGCCTGCTGCTGCTCTGTTCCAACAGCCCTGAAAGAGTGGGGTGCATAATCCCTAATGGGGAGGGGCAGGCTGGGGTGTTACCCCTTTAATGATGGGGAAAACTGGGGGCAAAATTAATTGAATGGGCTGAGAGATGGGGCTGCATAGGTCATGTAGGGACCAGGCAGAGCTGGGAGAACTTGGGCTCCTTTGCACAGCCCTGGGTACAGTTTTTGCTGTTAAAGTTTTTCTGAACTAGCCCCAAATCCCTGGCCTTTGAACTTATATTTTTCTTGGAACCTAGACAGAAGGACTCATTGGACCCCCACCCCCACTCAGGGAAGTGGGGATCAGTTTGGAAACAAAAACCCAATCCCTCAGGGCCCTGAGCCCTGCTGGAGTGGGTGGAGGGAGCCCAGACTTCACCAGAAATCGGTTGTTTCCAAATGGGATCAGCACAGCAGAAATGAACAGAAAGGACAGGCAGACAGGTGGATGAATAAAGCAGACAGACAAGGGGAAAGCCAGAGGCAGAGGGGAAGGCAGCCTGCACTCTTGCTGGGCTGGCTGCCCTACATGTCCTTGAGGACAGCATTTGGGTCTCTTACTTATCGCTGTGTCCACCCCACCCCCTAGCACTGAGTACTATAACTATTTGATGAGTGAATGAATGGAAAAATGAGGCCCACAGGGAAATGATCTTCTTCCATAGGGTCCTCTCCTCCATCAGGCCTTTCCTGACCCCCAGGAAGACAGTGATGCTGCCCTGGTTGTATCCATGGAGCACACTGGGGCTCTGGGTGGGAAGGCCTGACTCCTTGCTACAGGCCCAGTACATACCCAGCCACCACGTGTGTACATATGCCGACTGAGATGGTGGAAGGACCAGGTAAATGGCTGTTTGCTGGGTTCAGTCCCACAGTCAGGGAGCACAGAGTTCCTCCTCCTAGAAGCTGGTCAGTGAAGGTGCCTGACCCAGGAAGGCCCAAGGCACTTGACCAAGGGGGACTTGGATCCCCAGGACTTAGGTCTTACCTTGGAAATTAACATTAAACCCAGGAGGAAAGTGTCAGGCCCGGCCGGGTCTGCACAGCAAGGTACATCAGGGATAGGAAGCTCAACCACTGGGGATCCTTCCCAGAGGAAAGTGGGGGACGCTGTGCACATGGGGGGAGATGCGGGCTGGGAGTCAGAAAGTGAAGAAGTGATAGGAACAGATGAGAGAGACAGACAGAAAAATAGAGAGTGAGCGATGTGAGAGGTGGGAAGCAACAGGTGGGCAGGGAGAGAGAGAACTTGATAGGCTGTGCGGCAGGTAGTGGTGAAGGCCCTGCCCAGAGTGCCAAACTTGGGAGTGGAGGTAGGGGTGATGCCAAGGAAGAACCCCCTCCCCAGAGGGAAATGCTTTGGTGCTGAGAGAGGCCAGGTCAGCAACATACAAGGAAACACTTGTTCCTCGTCTGTGGGAAGAACAGAGAGCAGAGGGACACACACGGCAAGATGGGAAGAGAGAAGGGAGGACTGCAGGGGAAAGGAGGGGAGGAGAGGAGGCTTCAGGCAGGGAAGGTGTCTGGGAGGGTGACCCGGGCCCAGGGCTCTCAAGAGGCAGGCTTTTGAACGGAAGTGGAGAAGGGGCGGCGGCGAGAAGGGAGAAAGAGGAGCAGGAGGAGGAGGACCACACCAGAATTACCTGATCAAGTGATAGCTGTGAGATGCCAGAGTGCAGCAGAGAAGGGGAAGGGGAGGGAGAGAGAGGAGGGACATGCGCCGGATCAGAGCAGTATGGGACAGAGAGAGAACATCAGTCAAGAATAAAACCCCAGCCCGCTGCTTTATGGTTGAGTTGGGGCCCCAGCTTGGCCCTAAAACCTCCTGGGACCAACCCTCACCTCCCCTGTGGCTACCACCCCAGCTGTTGTCCTGAGGGGTGGAGAGGTCTGCAGCCTGGCATGACTGTGTGAGTGCTGTGGGAACCCATACCCTAGGTGACAGGCAAGGAGACAAGCCTGGAGGGGAACCAAAACTTGCCCAAGTCCACACAGCAAATCCTGGCACAGCTTGGCTCGGGACTCCCAGCTGGTTGCTCATTCCAGAAGCCACCCTGCTCTGGCTGAGAGGGGACAGGCTGGGGGCCACTGGGAGGCCTCCTTCCCTGAACAGGGTGGTCTGGTCAGGACAACTCCTGGCTGAGGGCTCAGGAGGACGCTCACCTGGCTAGGGTGGGGGCTGGCCTGTCTTGGGCAGGGAAGGCCATGGAAGGTAGTCAGGGCCTACTCACTTTTGGACCACGAAGATGCCAATGATGAGGGTGAAGGAGATCAGGTCGGCGGTGACCCACATGAGGCAGTACTCGTCCGGGGGCTGTGGACAGATGGCCCGTGGCCAGCCTCCAGTCATGGCTGGTCCAGACCAAGGGTCCATGGGCAGGAGGACCCCACATCACAATCAGGGAGGGGCAGAGGAGGTCCTGGAGGGGGCTTGAGATTATACTTTGTAGAAGTGGGCTCTAGGCACCAGGTTTGGGTGTGTGTGTATGTGTACACAGGATAAGAGAGATCTGTGCAGTGTTCAGAGTAGAGGTGGTATGTGTTAAACCTAGAAGGTCTGTGTGCTTAAGGGGCTTAAAGTGAGAGCTGAATAATGAGAGACAAGTAGCTGAACATGACGGTGTGATGTGACTAGCAGGTGAAGAGGTGTGTGGCATCCGTGTGGCTCTCATTGTAGGGTGTGGAGTGTGGGGGCTTCCTCCCCAGGGGATGCGTAGAGAGGGGACAGGGAGGGCAAAGCCTCCAGACTGGCCAGGCCTCCCACCCCCTCAATCTCAGGTAATGTGTGGAGGAGGGGTTGGGGCTGGGTGAGGGGCACTTCCTGCTGTTGGTCAGCTCCTGTGGCCTCAAATTTTGTGCTCATAGCTCCTGCCGCCACAGTCAGTTACATCATCTCATTCCAAGCTGAGCCTTCAGAGGTTTTAAAGGACAGTGGGTGAGTAGACGGAGATAACCACCTGTAACCTAGATCTGGTTCACTGTCATTGTCTTAGCTGTTAATGGGACTGTCCATCTGCCTTGTATGTCCTCAGGGAGGAGGCAGTGGGAGCACAGGAGGGAGGTTAAGGGCTCCCCAAGCTCCCCGGTTGGCAGAACTGGGACTGGAACTCAGGTCTGTCTTCAGGTGCTGGGTCAACCAGCTGAAAACTGGTCTTACTGGCTGTAATCTCTGAACAGATTTTAATGTTCCTTATTCTTGTCTTATTACCCTCTTTCCCCAATGACTTCCCTTCCTTTAAAACAAAACATGATAATCCCCCAAGCCAAAAAAGCCCAAGGAGGTATTTATTTTTCAAGGGCTCTTGATGTTTTTTATCATGTGGCTCAGGCCCAGGTTCCTCCTACCTCCCAGCACCTTAGTGCAGACCCCAGAGGCCATAGGAATCCTCTTCGTGCCTCATGCCTGTCACCCCCACCTGCCTGCACTCCCCCACCCTGAGACCTCCACAGAGAGACAGCCCCAAGTATGGAAACTGCCTCCCACACCTGGTGTCACAGGCAGCTGTCTGCTCCCAACATCCCCGCAACTCACCATGATCCAGAGTGGGGAAGGCACCTGGGACAGGGTGTGGGAGTTGTCAGAGGTGACAGACGGGACCCCCGCGCACCACAGCAGGGAGAAGAGCCACGGGGCATTGACCGTGTAGAGGTTCACACTCAGATTCCAGGATGCATAGTCCCTGTGGGGCAGGGACAGAGGCTGGTTGGCCCTTGGACCCGTGTCGGAAGCTTGTAAAGCAGGGCCCTTCACAACCTCATGCCATCCTCACAACTGACCCTGGAAGAAGGCATCCCCACCCCCAGAGGGCCAAGCTCACATACAACCCAGGTCTGCCTGATTGTTCGCCACCTCTGCTCTTTGGACCCTGAGCCCCGTGAGTCCAGTCCTCCAGGTGAGCCTGGGCACCTGAGCTCCTGGCGGGACACCTGAGTGTAACGCAGGTTCAGCCGCTGGATGTGGCCTCTCCGCAGGCTGGCAGCTGCCTCCTTGGAACCCGATGTCTGCTGGAAGCCAGGAGCCACCTTCTGCACGAAGGGCCTCTGCCTATTAGGCAACCACAGGACCTGCGGGCAGAAGAGGAGCAGCTTCAGGTTTCTCTTCTGTAAGGTGGGGTTAGGATGTCTACCCCTCCCTAATGGAGTACCTGGAGGGGGTAAAAGTGAGAGGACCTGGCATGCAGTCAAAACTTACATGTAATAATCATCTCCAGGGACGACTCAGTCCCAGCCAAGGCTGGGAATTGCTCTGGCAACATTTCAGGAAGTTTCCCCTCCAGACCCAAGTCAGGACAAGACTGATAATCTCTCAAACATCAGTTACTCTGCATGTGGGACACCAGTGTCCAGTGTGCTGTCATAGTTGGTATTGGATTCCCCTGATCCCCAGATATTACACCACAAGGATGTGGGCAACACTTCACAGAAGTACCGTGTTCCCAAGAACAGGCCCTGCTTCTGCCCTTTGTGCATTTTAAAGAACTTTCTTGTTCCCTCTTGACTCCATGATGACCCTGTCAGGGAGGTGAGGGGCATGCTACCCTCATTTTACAAATGTGGAAGCTGAGGTCTGAAGAGAGCATGCGGTGAGTTTATTGCCGAGCAAGACTCCAGGCAGGCTGGGGGTGGGGGTGCGAAGCAGGGCAGGGCTGGGCGGTGCTCCCAGAGGGGAAGGGCAGGGCTCCCTAGGGGTAGAGCTGGATGAGACTGGGCTGCAGGACCTCACCTGGTGCTGGGGGAAGCCCGAGTGCAGTAGGGCCTCCAGTGTGACATTGAGGAAGCTGCTGTGATAAGGGTGCTCCCGTGGTGGGTCACGCAGGTTGAGCAGCAGCGTGGCATTGCCCTTGGCCAGCTCCAGGAGCTCCACTAGGCTGCAGATGGACTGGTTTTGGGCCTCCCTGTGGTCGGAGGGTGACAAGGAGCTGGCCGTCCAGAAGGGGTCCGTCTGGCAGAGACAGGGACGCACGTAGCTATCTCACCAGTCCTATGGGGCCTCCGTGTGCCTTCCTGGCTACCAAACTTGGAGACCCCTGATCTGTCAGTGTCTGCTGGTGTGTGCAAGTTAGGCAAATTGAAGGCTGTGGCCCTGTGGGGCTCCAGGAGAACCCATTCTAGCCTCTGTCCCAGTCTGCTTACCAAAAGATTGATTCCCTTGGAACCTCTCCCAGACCTCAGTAGTTTTTCCTTCAGTGGCATTTCAGACCAGAGAACAAACCTTCTACAGTTTTGCAGCTTTAACAACTTTAACTATTAACCATTATAATCATTATCAAATTTTTCTGGTGGGGAGACAGAACCAGACAAGCAGTGACACCCACGATATCTGGGCTGCAGTGGCAGGAGCCCAAGGAAGCCACTAACCAGCCTAGCTGTGAGTCAGGGAAGCTCAGTGAGTAGGGGTCACCTGAGCTGATGGCTGCCCCTGGCCCTCTCACTCCATGGGGTCCCCACCCATGCTTTCCATGCCTAGGACTGGGACAGGTGCTGCCAGACCTTCAGGAACCACTGGCCGGCATTGAGCCTCTGCAAGAAGGTCCAGTTGAGCATGGAGGCAGGCCTGCGGGCAAGCTCCGGGAACTCCTCCTCCACGTTGGTGGTGCGTCGCAGGGTGGTGTCGTGCATGAGGAAGGGCACACCGTCCAGGCTGTGGGAGGGTTGGGGCCATGGGGTCACTGCCCACCTAGGTCCCTCACCTGCCCCTCCCACACACTCCTCCTCGCCCACCTATACCAACCTACCAGGCAGGCTCTGCCCCTCTCTAGGTCTTAGGTTCCCATCTGCAGAGGGAGGTCAGTGGACTAAATGACTCCCTCTGGCTCTCTCTGAGGGTCAGACAGGCGTGGGGACTGCTGAGGAGGGAAGAGCTGGGCCTATTCTCTTAGCAGTCTTGGAAGGTAGGTGCTATCTCATTTGATAATGGGGAAACTGAGGCTGGAGAGGGCAGTATCTAACTGAAGGCCCACCAGAAAAATAAATGGTAAAACTTGGCTTAGAACCCACTCCACATGAAGCCACTATCAGAATAGTGCAAATGCAAGCCCTTTTGACAGATTCCACCCTACCATTATCCTGGTCTACCTTGCTGGGGTTACCAGTAGCCCCATAAAGTAGCTTAGTGTGAAACAGTACAAGGCATCTGTGCTCCCCTTCCTCAAGGAGTTTTTCTACCATCTGCTAGAAAGTTTTGATAAATACACAATTCTGTGTCTATAATGGGAATCATGTCCTCACATATGTGGTGCCCTTGTTCAATACACAACCTGTGGACCTATAAGTGGCAGCCCTGTCCCTCTCCTCTTCTCCGAGATGTTATCAGATCAGTGTGGATTCTCCTTGCCCTTTACACTAACACATACTTACATATCTTACATATCTATGTGTAGAAAATGTATAAATCATTTTTAAGTGATCCTTAAAAATGTAACTGACATCACAGTGAATGTATCACTCTACAACTTGCATATTTCACTCATCACAATGTTTGAGCTCCATCTCGCTGAGCCATATAGATATAGTCTTTATATTAAGTGGATCTGTGGCAGGACTCCAGGTCCTCACCTCAGCCCTGCTTGAACCAAAAGTGTCTTTTTCCCCCCTCCGTTTTATATCCTGGAATTTGGCACAATATTTATTTGCACTAACATGGTGCCCTGCAGTGGATAATCCTAGCCTCTGCTCTCCCACCTCCAAGGCTCTGGGACCAGAGGTTTCTCCAGTAGATACCTGGATGTGGATGTGCTGAGGAGAGGAAGAGGTGCTGTCCTCCGGGCCGCCACACCTACCTGATGGTGATGTCAGCCTGGACTCCATACAGCTTCTGCTCTAGCGCCTTCCTGAAGGACATCAGCGTGTGCTCTGGGGCGAGCTGGGGAGGAAGGTGGTGGGGAGGGTTGAAATTTAACTGATGTACTCTTCCCCAGTCAATGGGAAATCTTCCATGTTAGGAGGCTGGTGTAGGCCTGGTTCCAGTTCTCACTCCTCCAAGCAGTAGCTGTGGGGCCCTGGGCACCTACACAGCTTCTCTGAAGCTCAGTTTCCTCATCTGTTAAATCACACCTGCCTCACAGGTTTGAGGGGAGAGACAGGGGTGGCTAGTGTTGATGTATATAAATGTGGGGGTGGGAGGGTTTTTTTTTGTACAGTCCTCTGCCTGTATGCAGTCTTGGGCTGGGCTGAATGCCAAGTTTCCTCCTAATTATACCCTGAGTCCAGGTGGAGATTCCCAAAGGGAGAGGAGAGGGAAGGTAGTATGGCAGAGTGTCAGTCAGGTGACCCATTCCCACATATATATAAACATGACAAGACTATCTCCTGGAGTGTTATAAGGATTAAAAGCCCCTAACACGTTGCCTGACATATAGCAAGTGCTTAATAAATGACAACTGTTAACCCTATAACATACACATCGGAAAATCCTGGTTCTAGTCCAAACTCTGCCGTTCATTAAGTTTGTGACTTTTACTGCATCTCTTTATCCTGTGGGCTTCAGTTTCCCCACTTGCCACTTGGGGGTGTACATTCACTGTTCTCTGAGGGTCCTTCCGAGTTGGGGTTCGTTTCCCTCCCTAGTTGTCTGGTCTGATGATCCTGTCATACACTTTGCTGCCACTGGGGGTCAGCACCATACCAAGGACTAGGCTAGGACCAGGTGTGGTGTGGGACAGACGACAGGGAGGACTTCTGGCAGAGAGGGATGGGTGGAGCGTGCTCCTGTGGATTATCCCATTCCTACCAAGACATGCTTATTCTCATCTTCTCTCCTTCTGGCCATGCTGTTCCCCAGCACAGAACATACTCTGGGAAGCAGCCTGGCAAGGCAAAGGCTTTAGAGCTGAGAAGGAGCAATTTACCTTCCCAGTCACCAACCTGGGCTGTCACTTCACCTTCTGGACCTTGGTTTCTTTAGCCATTAAAAAAAAGGGCTGATTTTATCAAGCTCATAGGTGAGGTAACAGACGTCAGCAGTCTCTGCAGTGTGAGCTCCTTTCTTCCCTTTTCCCTCATGTTCCCTGGGGGATGTACTGCCTTGTCTCTAGGTCTAGTGGGCTGTGTGAGACCCCACAGAGGCATCTAGAGAGGTGTGGATTTAATGGAGTTCCTGCCCGATCATCTTTATATGCCCTGTGCCCAGACCTCCCACAAGTGACCACCTGAGAGGTATCAATGTCCCCTCCCACGTGGGCTGGAGTGGTAGCAGGTAGACTAGGTAGACACGAAGAGTGTGGCAGAGGCTATGAAGACCCTTGCGGGGCAGAGGAAGTGTTTGGGAAAGGAAAAATCTTTTCTGGAGGTTTTTTAAACTCAGGTCTCCCGGGGTTAGGAGCTGGCCTCCTGGAGAAAGAAGACCCCCACTGCCTTAGGCCTAAGCCCAGGTGGGGTTATTTGTCAGAAATGTGCACGTGGGCCGGGTGGTTAAGAGGCCCAGCTTTGGAGTTGGTCTTATGAAATATTAAAGTATGCACATATGCACAGGCCACCCACATAGGAATGATATCTCCAAGGGCACATGGACAGTGTCTCCAAAACAGGGATGAGCACTTGGGCTTACCACACACAGATGTGTGGACCCAGAGTCAAACCCCCCCGACAGGCAGATACACACAAGTGTAGACACCAATACTTAGGCATTCACAGTGACACAGGGAGATGTGTCAGACCCCATGCCAGCCCCTTAAGAACTACCACCAGGACACAATCAGCCAGACACACAATGCGGGAAATTCTACAGGACAAATGAGTCCATTTCTTCGACAAATAAACAGCATATGGGGGAAAAAAAGAGGAGCGTTATTATAGACTAAAAGATACTTAGAAGACCTCAACCATATGCTTCATGTGGGCCCCGTTTGGATCCTAATTTTTCACAATGCAACTATAAAAAAGTATTTTTGAGACAACAAAGGAAAACTGAACATTGATTCAGTATTAGATAATATTGAGGAATTATTAATTTGGTTGGGTGTAACAGCATTTGTTGTGGTTCTGTTTTAAAAAACCTTTATGGGTTTAGAGGGTGGGAGGGTGGGCATAGCTCAGTGGGTAGAGTATGTGCTTAGCATGCGTGAGGTCCTGGGTTCAATCCCCACTACCTCCATCAAAAACAGGTGAATAAACCTAATGTAACAGCAGCCTTGTGGTTGTGGTTCTGTTTTAAAAAGCCTTTATGGGCTTGGGGGGGGTGGAGGGACAGGCATAGCTCAGTGGGTAGAGTATGTGCTTAGCATGCATGAGGTCCTGGGTTCAATCCCCACTATCTCCATCAAAAATAAGTGAATAAATCTAATCACCTCCTTCCCTCAAAAAATAAAAATAAAAAATAAAAAGCCTTTATGTATTAGAGATACATCCTTAAGTAAGAATGAGTAAAATAGTATGCCTGGGATTTGCTTTAAATGTTGAAGCAGGGGGGGAAAAAGCAGATAGATGAGACAAGAATGGTAAAATGTTGATAAATGTTGAAGGTGTATTGCATTATTATACTATTCTTTCCACTTCTGTGAATGTTTGAAATCTTTCTGCTAAAAAAACAATCCACACGAGGGCCACCTTGCTCCCTCCCTCCCCTTGCTCCTTCCACCCTGCCTCAGCACGCCCTCTTATCCCATGGCCTCCAGAGCAGGTGGGGTGGGTAATGGGGGTCACAGAGAGAAAAGCAGCTATAGTCTGGGGTCCTGCCTTCTGGAAGAATGTGCTCTTTCTCATCCTCACTAAAGTCAGCAGCAGGAGGCTTGGAGGGGACCAAAAACCTCCCGAGACCCAGAGAGCACGTGGCAAAGCTGGATCTCAAATCCAGATTCCTGACTCCAAAACCATGGCCTTTCCAGCTGGTTGCCTCCAGGAGGTGCTAGGAGCAGCACTGTTCACGGGGTGTGGTGGGAGGGCATCAGGGTCCAGCTCAGGGGTACAGGTCTCAGAGCCTTTTCTAGACAATGAACACACTAATGCCCCCCACACCCAGTGAGGGGTAGAACCTTCAGGGTGATTCACAGCCCTGACAGACTTTTAAACGCTTACTTTGTGAGGCCCCTTTGACTGCCCTGAAATTCAATGACACCATGGAACTCCCAATTACTGTGACCACCAAGAAAAAGCTCTCACGGAGTCCCCAAGCACCCTCTGGTGGTGAGAAGTGGTACTGTCTCAGTTGAAAACAGGTTCAAAGTTTTCATAGGTCAGGAAACTGTGTCTAGAGAAGGGCAAGGGCTGGTCCAAGGTAACAGGAAAGTTAACTCTTACCTTCTGTGAGCCAGGCTCTAACCTGGGCACTTCACATGCGCTAATTCCTGCTTCTTGTGGTCCTATGGTGCAGGCATTCCCATTATCCCAAGGTATAGGATGAGAAAACCAGGCACAGAGAAGCTGGAATTGGCCCAGGTTCCCACAGCTGCCAGGGAGCATGGAAGCCTGGCTCTGGAGCACGTCCTCTTAAAGGCAGGGCCTACTGTGGGGTCACAGGGGTGTCAGAGGAGGAGCGGGTGCTGACTTTGACTCTTCCTCTCTGTTTCACCCCAGTTCAAATGTTTCGCTTTAGCAGTGGGCTCTGAGCCTCCTGCACAGCATGGTGGGCTTTCCTGCTGCCTTGTCCCCGCCCGCAGGCCCAGCTCTCCTCTCCCAACATCTCTCTCTCCTGGGCCTTCCTAACCCACAACCTGGTGGTGTCTTTCCAGGGCTTGGGATAAAAGTTCTATCTTTTCGGCAAGATGATTTCAGGCTCTTCAGGACTTGATCCCAACCAAGCACTCTCTTTTCACCAATCCTTTACATACTACCCCCCACCAAAAGGGTTAAAAATTGTTGCTATTAGTACATTACAGGTATTATATCCATTTCCCTGCAAGCTCCTCCTACAAGGAGATAGGTCTTTGCCCATTTTCCCCTGGAATGGCTGCTTCGCCACCCCTCACCCTGGTCTTTAGGACCCTCAGGTGGCACTCACCATAGGAGCCCCGCGGTGACCGATGAGGGCAGGCTTGGGACCCAGGTCCTTTTTCTCCATGATGCAGGGAGAGGAGATGGTGAGAGGGGCCAGGTAGAGGGTAAACACGACAGCGAAGAAGGTACCAAGAATGGCCACCTGGGAGGCTGTAGACATGGGCCCAACCATGAGCCCTGGGCAGCTTGGCAGGGCAAGCTGGACCCCTCCTCCCTCCACCTGTCAGAACCCAGACTGCTCCAAGGGGACCCTGTACCAAGGAGAAAACCTCATTCTTCCCAGGAAGGTGAACCTGGCCTCAAACACACAGATGGAAAGACACAGAAGAGGAAACATGCAAGGCCGAGGCTGCAACCTCTGTGGAACCTGCAGGCCATGCTGACCAGGACCCCCTACGCTGACAGTGAGGGTCCCACAGTATCCCCAGGCCACCCAGGTAATATCCAGGTTGGGGCAGGACAAGCTGGCCTTGGTACTTGGAGAACATGGTTGGGGTGAGGGGCAGGTCCTGCCCAGTTGTACTTACAGGACCGCTCTGCACGGGCAAACTGTCCTGCCACGATCCAGGAGAGCGCAGTGATGGCGGCCAGGGCCCCCACATGCAGGAATGGCGCTGTGCCCTGGTGTGCAGGAAAGGGCAAGAGAGATCACTGGCTCCCAGCTGTGCCTAAGCCCTCTGGTCACCCACATCCTCACAGCCTATCTCTATCCATGGGGCAGGCAACTCTGTGGCCATTTTTCCATGGAGGAAACTGGGAGTCCAGGGACCCTGGGTTGTAGTACCGTCTCTGCCTCTGAATTGCTATGTGATGTGGACCCCTCCCTACCCACTCTGGGCCTTGGTCTGGAAAAATGGGAGAGACGAGAAGGCATTGCTTTGTTTCGAGGGTCCTGGGGAAGCAGCTGCCCAGCCCCCCACCCCCACTTACCTGCAGGGAGATCAGCAGTATCTCCCACTCGTCCTCCCACAGCTGGGCCACGGCCGACATGGCCACTACCGTGGCCACCAGGACAACCACCAGCCCTATCTGGAAGGGGAAGAGCCACCAGAGGGTCAGGGCAGCGTCAGATCCTGGACAGCCCAAGGGTCCCCATGAGAGGGAGAGCAGAGGTAGAAAGACAGGGAGAGGCTGAGAGATGGACAGGGGAGAGTGGAGAGTGTGAGAGAGGCTGACAAAGCAGAGCAGAGATAGGCACCAACTGAAAGAAAGCCAGAGGCAGCCAGACAGACTACCGACTGTGCAAGGGACAGAAGTAGGAGGAGGCAGGCAGACCCAGCGAATAAGGGAGGGTGGAGAGGAGAGGAGACCAATGCGCTGGAGCTGGGTAAGACAGAGGCAGAGCCCCCGGGCTCAGGGTGTGAGGAGGGAAGACCCTCAGCAAATGGGGGCCTCCATGAGCCCAGCAAGTCCCGTCCCAGGCCCCGCCCAGCCCTCCCAGCCACCTTTCATCAAGCATGACAGATGAGGAAACAGGGGCTCTACTGGAGGTAGTGAAGGGTGACTTGCCCAGGCCACAGGGTAAAAGGCTAAGGAGCCAGGCCCTTTAGGAGCCTGATGCTCAGCCCAGCCCACTCCCCAACCCTGGTCTTCAGGCTGGACCAAGCAGAGGTGAAGCAGGGGTCTGGCCCACCTGCCCCGTTGCCAAGGCTTACTCTCAGTCCCAGCCACCAGCTTCCAGATTCTGCTCTGCGAGCTGCCCTCCCAAAGTGGGGAGCACAGCTGTGATGAAAGACTAGACAGAACCCTCGCAAGACAGAAAGCTTTGGGGACAGATGGGATCTGAAATGTGTAACACAAGATGCTAAGTGATGTCTAGTTTCTGGCTACTCAGCCCTCAGGGCTTCCCTCTTGGGCCCTGGATCTCACTCTGCCTATCCTCTCCACACCACCAGGCCTGCTCAGGTCACACCTCTACCACGAAGCCTTCTACAGCGCCACTGTCCTAAGGGGCCAGCCAAGACCACCACACCCAGCCCTCCTGACCCCCTGGTGCCTGCCTCCAGCTGTTCTCTGTGCCAGCAGGGCCCTCGCTCCTTTTCTCTTCATGCAGTGCCTTTCCTGGAGGCAGCAGCATTCTGAGAACCCTCCCAACGAAACGACTGAACAAGCTCTAAATTGAGTTTCTAGCTGGTAAGGCCAGAGACAGAGGCTAATCCATCTTTGTTGGCTGCCAGGCGGGGAAGATTCATTCTTGTCTGGGATTAGGTTTTCCTTTGGAGGTTTGTGGTTCCAGCCCATCAGCCTGAAAACAAATGTTCCAATAAGAAGCAGTAATAAGGCTGGAATGGGTAGGGGCCCTTATGGACTGAAGTGCCAGCCTGGAGGACATGGGAGGAAGAGAAATGACAGTGTGCAGAGGGCCCAAGTGGGCCTGGGTCTGTGGGAGGCACTTTCCTTGTTGTTCATGTTTGTTCTCGTAAAATCCCAGTTGAGGTGTTATCATCTTCATTTTACACATAGGAAAATGGGGCTCGGAGAGCAGAAGGGTTTGCTTGGTCATGTAGCTTTGAGAGGGCGGATCCAGAAGCAAACCCCATTCTGCCTGTCTGGGAGGTTGTGCTCTTTCTGGGCTACAGTGTCCCTGGGAATCCGCCCTGCCCTCCCCCGCCAGCAACACACAGGCTCCCTGCAAGCACCTCTGAAGGGTCATCTCTGGGAGCGTTCTATTACAGTTATTTAACTGCTTGTGGAAATACTTGTAATAAAACTGATTTCCCAGAATCCTAACACAATTAAAATTTTTATTCTCTCTGTGCTCTGCAGTTGCTGTAGTGGCACCCGCCATGCTGCGTAGCATTATTACAATGTTCAACATCTGTGGGATTTCCCCATACACATCCTTAAGCCATGATAACAGCACTGACTCCCAACAACGTGACCACCATTCCTCAAATCTGACTGGAAAGGATAAATCCCACCCAGAAGGCCCAGTGCAGCCCACTGTCCTTCTCTGAGAAAGTGGTCTTTGGTTTTCTGTGCTGGAGGAACTGTGGTTTGTGAGGACAGCAGGAGGGATGGAGGACTCAGGAGGTACACGTGTGGGGACCTGGGAGGACTGGGAACCCAGCCTTGCCAACAGGTTGGCCTCTTGTGGGGGGTGGTTAGAATCTGGGTTCTGTGGTCCAAATGGCAGCCGGTTGGCCCAGGGTTCAGGGACACACTTATATCACCTCCCTCGATGACTGTGTTAGCAGGGGTGGTTTACCTCTCCAAGTGTGTTTCCTGAGCTGTGAAATGGGGAGAATGAACACCTACCTGAAAGGGGTTTGGAAAGAAAAATGAGAAAATGCAAGCGAAGAGTTTAGCATCATGGCTTTGCAGATGCAAAATAGCAAATGCTTACTAAATGTTAGTGGGATAATTTTCAATTTTAATTTTTAAAAGTAGGCATTGCCACTGTGGAAAACAGTGTGGAGATTCCTCAAAAGACTAGGAATAGACTTACCATATGACCCAGG